TTTTTGACTTTTTTTTTTTATTTAAGTCATTTCTCGACGCTCCTTTCTCATCTATCAAGCACCGTGTGTGTTGTTGCCACTGCCGAGGATTGGTAACCACCTGCAGGCAAGATGTCTGATGCAGCATGTCTTTAATACAGTAGGATTAATATTTGAGGGCAGGACGCTCCAGGGAGCGAGAGTGCTGGTCCACTGATTCGTTCTCCAGTACGAGCCTGGCCACAGCTACAAAATGTAGCCGCACGACATTTGTTTTGAATACAAGGGGAATAAGCTTCTCATCCTTACTGTTTGTGCTAATGATTATTGTGTGCATTAGTGTGGATGGAATATTAGGAACGAATATAATTGTCCCAGGTTGATTTTTGAAAGCAGAAATATTACTATCACCAGCATTAGAGTTTGCTATGTATGCGAGTGAACCAGCTGTACTCGCAGCTGATATGTTCTGGTATATGTTTCCCTGTTAATCAAGTAACAGCACAGTGTTCTAAGTAATACCATCACTGTGCTACTAACCAGTGTGACCTAGTGGTCAGTTCTATTTTGTCTAAGTGTTACAGTAAAGCAATCAGTAACTGAACCTAAGTTTTGTTGTTGTGAATGAAGGTTCAAAGTGTCATCATATTCAAACTTGCTTTTAATAAATAATGATTAAGTATAATGTGAATATCACCACTCATTCCTTATAACAAATGCCATCTCTGAAAATACACTTGATAACCCATGAGCATAACCTCTCGTTTATGGCAGATGTTATAGTCGAAAGAAAAAAGCCTGGGTGGTGGCAGCTCTAGGATGTAAGTACAGTAATTACATGACTGAGAATAGACAAGGATGTGGATCTCCCAGGTTAACCCACAAAACAGAATATAACTAAATACATTTGAGAATAAAAGTAAGTAAGAGGAAATAAACAAAAAAGTAAGAGATATTGAAAGAAATATAGTAAGTACTGACATAAATTTATGCGTGATTAACTGATGCACACGTGCGTGACTGCATGGTGGGGAGTTAAAGATCAGTTGTTGAGGCGTGCTTGTCAACACTGGTGCATGTTACAACTCCTCTCCACTTCATCTCCCTAATCACCCACACCTTTCTGCTTCCTCACTTCATATTTTAAAATTTTATGTAACGTAATGTTGAAGGGATACAACGTTGCTCATTTATACTTACACTTATCAAAATCCCCCTCAAAAATAGTGTACCTTAGCCTTTGTCTTTATTCAAGACCTCTTCAGGTCATGAGACCCACTTATCCCTCACCCAACAATGGGTGACCTGACATTGCATCAGAAGGTCAGTAATATGAGACAACTAATCCCCCACCCTACCTCCACCTGACAATGCATCAGGTCAGTTACACGAGACCCATTAATCCCCCACAGCTCCATGAGAGTGAAAAATACCAGCTTTTGCTGCAACACAGCCGCATTAATGGCTATAACATATAGATTTTTAGTTTTTATATATATTTAGTTAATCAAACTTTTAGATAGAATATTCAGGATTATTCTAGCAAAGAAATGGAGTTTCTAACTTAATTAGAACGGCTTTTACAGACTCAGAAACATTCTGGGGAAGTGGTGCTAGAGTCTGTCTGTGCATGATGGGTAGTTTTGACTCTCGGAAACTTTTCCCAGTAACTGGAAAAATTTCCGGGGATGGGGGATTTTTGGGGGTTTGTGAAAGTCGCCTGGTTAACCGGAAATCTCTAATCCCTTGAAGTGCTCTGCACCAATTGTTCTGGCTAACAGGGATATCACTGTACTGCATAAATCAAGACATAGCTGTACTGGAGGATGATGGTGGTGTAGGTTGAGGTGGCCTGTGAGATGGCTAAGCATGTCATTGATACATGTAATGAAACTATAAAAGTTGAGGAAAAATCATTACAATACAGTTGTACCCCACTTAACGCGGTCAATAGAACCCAGAGGGTCCCGTGTTAAGTGAAATCCACGTTAAGTGAACAACAGAACATATGGGATTAATTCCAATAGAAACCGGCCCGACCCCCAAACTCCACTTTTTGAAGACACATAACTATGTTGTAGTAAAAATAACATCTTAATTTTATGATGGTACATGCACACAATTAATACTTAAGAGAAATAGAGAAATACAGTCGCCAAGTTAATGTCCATTCAAATAATGGACTCAACTCCCTCCCCCTCTCACACTACACTGCCGGCTCTTCCCTCTCTGAGAAATTTTTGGGGGAAAACCACTAAATTTTAATAAATAATACCTCAAACTAAAGTTAGGATAATACAATTGACATTGCTGGATTCCTTGTAAGACCAGGAATATTTTGAATATAAATGTCATATATTTTGCACAAAAGATAACATAGTTACCCAGAGAAAAAATTTTATCTAAAATTTGTATGTCTAATGCAAAATATATGATGTTTATATTCAAAATGATCACCAAATTATAAGAATTCCAGCAATGTAAATTATATTCTGACCGGGTAATTTGTATGAATTTTATGAGCTAAAACAAATATCTTCAGTTAATAAAAAAAAAATAATCTTCACGACACTATCTGTCAATCAAAGTACCCCACCTTGCCTCCCCCCTCTTCCAACCGCGCGGTCAGTCCCAACCCTCCCCCCCACCCCCCACCAATCCTCCCTTCAAGAGATGTGGGGTGAAAAAAATAAATTTTAACATTTTGTATTAAATAATACCTCAGATTAAAGTTAGGATAATATAATTGACATTGCTGGATTCCTTGTAAGACCAGGAATATTTTGAATATAAATGTCATATATTTTGCACAAAAGATAACATATTACTCAGAAAACATTTTATCTAAAATTTGTATGTCTAATGCAAAATATATGATGTTTATATTCAAAATGATCATCAAATTATAAGAATTCCAGCAATGTAAATTATATTCTGACCGGGTAATTTGTATGAATTTTATGAGCTAAAACAGGCAGTCAGGCAGGGTGGCGGTGGGGAATCTAAAATAGCGTCTCGAGCCGGACACTCACGTATATGGAAAAAATCCGTGTTAAGTGAAAGTTCAGCTCTGGCGAGGCACCGCGTATTGATAAAACTCGTTAAGTGAAACCGCGTTAGGCGGGGTAATACTGTACTCTCAACTTCTAAAATGACTTAGAAATAAAGAAAATATAATATAAAACTGTAAAGAAAGGAGAGCATGGGGACATATGTGTGGGAAGTGAACATATGTGTGGAGGCAGTGGACTGTAATTGTGGTGCCAGCCCAGTACACTGCTGTGATGTCATGGCAAATGCACAGCACAACAGACACACATGTCTCTTGAGTCAGCTGGGTGGCTGCCAGGCTAAACTGTGTCGTGTCACTCAGAGGATGGTTTGAGTGGTGAATGAGCAACTTTTTATATGTAAAATATGAGTTATTATATTTTATATCGTACTATATACAAATTAAATTTTTTATCATAGCAGTTTCTATTGATTTTGGGCACATAAAATTTGACTTTTTTAATTTACCCCATTCTCCCTAAATCATTTAACTCTGAATGACATTATTTATATAGAATTTTTACTGAGAATAAATCATTTGTTTAACTTCAGAATCATTTAAAGTGAGGGAATACTGTACATTAGCTAATGTTAGGACGTCACCCCTTAGTGATGTGATTATCTCAAGTTTGGTTTCAATCATTACAGGTTTGTTTGACCTCTTGGTGATGGTAGGTACTACAGGAATCACCACTATGGTTGGATGCCATTATGTACAAATTCAAGAAAGGATGACACAAATACAGATGAATATCGAGAGAGCAATTCACTTGCACCGAACATAAGAGCGAATGGAGCATGGGAAGAGGAGGATGGGGGATGCCAGGTGAGGGTATGTTCCTGCACATCTGGGGGAACAAACTGTGTGCAGTGTGCGACTTAAATTTTCAAGTAGAACAGCATTCAGATAAGTGAATACAGTGAGTTCTGCTATAACGCATGTTTTGACAATGCGAATTGGCTGTAACGCGATTTATGAATAGAGGAACGATATTTGTATAACACGAACACTTGTTTGCTGTAACGCGATTTTTGCTTACTATTTCTCCAATTTTGTGGTATTAACTGTGAATATGGTAAAGAAGAATATCTCCAAGAAGCGTTCTGGTGATCACATTCCCAGTGATGATCGTAAAAGAAAGGCTATAACCCTTGAAGAGAAGCTCCATGTTATCAACCTCAAAATCACCCTTCTCCCCCATCAAGTTATATTCATATTTTTCAAGGTAAAGTGTTACATTTACTGTATGATTTCATTATTAGATTTGAATGTAACATTTATTTAGACTGTGCTATCGTTTGTGTTAAATTTTTTTCGATTTCGAGTAGTAATCTGCACCTAACCTAATTTTCTCCATAAGCCCTGTTATTTCTATTACGCGAATTTCTATAACACGATGTTTTACAAGAACACAATTATCGCGTTATAGCAGAACTGACTGTCACTTTTGGATAGTGAGAAGAGGTGCAAGAATAAAATATTCAGATAGTGATCAGACAGCGAGAGATACCTGTACTAATGAACTGTAGTGTGTCCGTCTGTCAGCTGTCTTGTCACATACTAAGCCTAGGCCTCATTTGCATAGTTGAAAGAGAACAAAGTATTGTACTGCTGTATAGTTAGCTTAGTAGGAAAAAGAGAACAGTGTCTGAACAAGAAATCAAAAAGCCTTGTTCACTAACTAAGCACTCCCCACTGACTAACTCTGCGTTCAATCATTCATGGAGTAACCATCATTAAAGAGATACAGCTAGTAACACCCTATTGAAAAACTTAAGTCATACCACGTGATAGTCATACAAAATAAATGAATGAACATTAAGCCTCTTTAATATGCTAGTGGGAAATAAAAATTATATTAAAAGCAAAACAATAAGTCTTCATATACAAACACTAACAATACATATAATGGTAACACACCATATCTTCACTGAATAAGTAACATTTATCTTCAGTTCATTACACTCACCTCTATTTTATCTTCTTTAGCATCACACCAATATATTTTTCTCAGTTCAGTGTCAATTGCAACCCCATTAGGCCATCCAAGGTCCGAGTTGATAATGACCTCTCGTAATGAGCCATCAAGGGCAGCTCGCTCAATCTTTGGATGCTCACCCCAGTCTGTCCAGAACATCAAGCCCCCATCAGGTCAATAGCAATGGCTCTTGGTTCATCCAGGTTATCAGTAATGAGGATCTGTCAAGGAATTGGATTCAAATTATCATCTGAATTTAAGAAGATGCAAGAGGAGTTAAATAATATACTGTAAAGGTTTTAATTTGATAAATGCAGTTAATCCCAGTGACTATTAATACTAAATGGTTATATTGTGTCAAAAAGGATAACTTAAGTGAATAGTGAAGCTGATAGTTGAAAATGTGTTTGGTGAATAAAATAACATAATCAGAGGACTTTCCTTTACTGGCCACCCACTCAAGACAGGAATGAAGTGTTCCTCTTAACAGGTCCTAATATGTCCTGAGCCCAGTGTACTCACTAAATTTGGAAAGTAACTAATGACTTCTGATCTTTATCCTTTAGTTTAACTGATTTTGAAGGCAGATGTTATATTGCTGACTTTTGTTTCATATGGACGAAAAAAATAAGGTAGGTGGAAAGTTTTTCATTACCTCAGGGAACTGCAGCCCTGCTCTGTTCTGCGGTTTCCACCCTGTGGGTTGGTGTTAGGAATGGCATCAAGCTGTTAAACTTTGCTTCAACATGCCTGATGGTAACCAGGTCATCAGAGCTGTGCCCATTCTTTGGGCTCAGCTGCTTATTTTGGGGGCTGGAGCCCTGGGTTTGTGGTAGTGAATGGGAGGACATCCCGTTCTGGTTTTACCCTACAGCTACTATCAGGTAATCACGGTTAAACCCACACAAGTGTGAAAAATCGCTGTAAAATGTTAATGTTGTTGATATGAATGAAAAATTACAGGTTGACCCTCTCTCGTCCAGCAACCTTGGGCCCAAAATAAAGCCGGAAAACATAAATTCCCGTTAAATAGAAGGTTTATAATTAACGACTTTACCTAAGCTACATTTAGTCTAATACCCCACAATACAGTAAACCCTTGAATGTCCAGACAATTTGGGGGGAAAGGGAGTCCAAAATTGACAATTCTCCGGACTTATGCCAAGTGAGGGCTCTGGGGACCACTGTTGCACTGCAGCCACTCATCAGCCCCCCCCCCCAATGACCCTTAAATTTGTATTTTAATGTGCACTAAATATCATGTGCATTTCCTTTACATTTTTCCTTTATATAGTATACAGTGGTCCCTCGGTTAACGAACACAATTCGTTCCAGAAGGTCGTTCATTAACAGAAATTTTTTTTTAACCAAAACCATTGTTTCAATGGGATATTGAGTAATTGGTTCCAGCTCACAGAAAAGTATACTGTATACAAAGTAAAGACAAAAATGCATAAAGTCAGAAACACTCCAAAAATTCCCCTAAATCGCCCTGAAATCACTATATATATCGTACATATACACTAGAAGTCTTAAATCACTACTGTAATGTGATACAGGTGATTAATTTTATCTCTTTGTAAAAATACATGACATTTATATTCAAATTAATCTCTGTCTTGCAAGGATTTCAGCAATGCAAATTATATTATCCTAACTTTAGTCTGAGATATTACATAAAATAAACACCTTAAAGCATAAAGAAAACACGGATCTTTTGTCTGGGAAGGCAAGGAGGGTGGGAAGAGGGGGGTCCAGTGGAAGAAGAGAGGGGGCAGGAGGTGAGGTGACAGATAGTGTCTGGTGAAGTATAATTTGTTTAATTATTTGAGATTTTTGTTTTTAACTCATAAAATTCATAGAAATTACCCGGCCAGAATATAATTTACTTTGCTGGAATTCTTATAAGACAGTGATTAATTTGAATATAAACAAGCTAAAATTTGCATTAGACATACAAATTTTAGATCTAATTTAAGAATTTTATTAGGGAGAGAAAATTTTTTTATCTTTTGTGCAAAATATATGACGTTTATATTCAAATTATTTCCTGTCTTGCAAGGATTTCAGCAATGCAAATTATATTATCCTAACTTTAGTCTGAGGTATTATTTATTTTTAAACCTGTAAGCCTAGTGCTTTTCCCCAAACCTTTCTTGGAAAGGTGGGGGAGGGAGGGAGGGAGGGGTGACAGTGACATGTTTGACAGTTGGCACCTGTGGTGTGTAGTATTTACTTAATTGTTAATTTACTGTATGTCTTTTAGAATGTTTTTTTTTATAAAATTTAATAGAAGTGACCGGGGTGAATTTAATTTGCATTTCTAGAATTGCTAGTGATTAATTTGAATGTAAACATAGAAGAGATCACTGAATTGGCTGAGTACCTCCTCATCTTATCAGCTGATGTTCAAAACAAAATGTGATTTTCGTAAGGATTTTGTTAATCAAAAATTTTTCGTTAACCGAATTGAAGATTCTTATGGAAGGTAATTCGTAAACCGAAATTTCGTTAACCGAGGCGTTTGTTAACCGAGGGACCACTGTAGTACAAGAACTCATTAAAAATAATTAATTTTTTATAAAATAGATTACCTTTAGTATTAAAATATATACAATGTTGTCATTAATGGGATACTGTACAGTTGTTTAATCAGATTTGATATAGCCTGAACAAGCTAATAGGTACGAGATGATACTTCACGTGTAAACATGCTGGAGGATGGCCATTGCTACGTTCATCAGTCTGTTTTAATTTATTCATTACAGGTATTATATTCTTGCAGAGTTGTAAAAAGTACTGGACTTTGTTACTGAGTAAAAGAATTGTTACATAAGCAAAATGTTACTCAAGTAGAAGTAAAAGTATCCAAAGATCAATGTACACCCAGTCTTAGCTTAACGTCATGGTTACGTTCTTGTAAAACACAACGTTAACAGAAACAATTTTCCCCATAAATAGATAAAATACGGGAGTTACGGTCCCCAGCCTCCCTTTGCCCCATAAAATACATTACATATACTGTACATAAATTCAATGGATTTTTATAAAAAAAATATTATACCATACATCCAAAAAGATAAATAAACTAAACTCTACACAAATTTCCACAGCACGTTCGCCTTTCTCAAAACGGTTTAAAACCTCCATTTCCATAGCAAGACTAATGGTCTTGCATTGCTTCTTCACAACACTAGCATCACTAACACTTGATGGGCACTTTAAACCATTTTGAATGGTTACAATACAGTATTTATAGCAAAAACACTTAAGCATGAACGTACGCTGTGGAAGCTTAACAAAGACTGGAAAGAAAATGCTTGGGGACGCTGCACGAGAGCGCCGCAGTAGTGCGCCAAAATGAGAGAGGGTGGTGCGCCATACAAAGTAGTCTGTGTTGGGTGACAACGTTATTACGAATCGCTTAGGTCGTAAAACGACAGCTTGTCAGAATCATGGGTATCGAAAGAGTAGCAACGTTATAGCTAAACTACGTTGTCTGGGACAACGTTAAGCGAGGACTGGGTGTACTCCAGTAGAAGTAAAAAAGTATATAATTCATAAAGTACTCAAGTACTGAAAGTAAAAAGAAACAACAATTATTAACTGTCAGAAATATTAAAATAAATCCACAATAAATTATAAAAATTTGTTAACTAAAGATAAAAATAAAAGACACAGCATTACACATGTTTATTTGCATATTGAGATTAATCAATAACTAATTCTCAAAATTATGGCTGTCCAATCAGGATGTTTTAGGCCAAAATATAAACCCAGCATCACCTACTGAAAGAGAAAGAGTTGTGCCGCTCTTCTCCCTACAACCCATTGCAGGGATAGTGAACAGGCTGAAAATATATCCATCCAACACTATGATCACTTTCTTCCTCATCCACTCAAGTATCGTCAACATGGACTTATGGTCCACAGACTTAATGTTGTCTCTGCTCGCATCAGGTTAGGATACAGACCTAACAGGAAAGTATCTTGTAAACTCTGTAATTGTTCCAATGTTACTACCCCTCAACACTGCCTGATTGTCCTACTGTCAGGGACCACCTATCTCAAGGAGTCACTAACCACTCTAAGTCACCACCTACTTATTCAAAATAATATATATTTAATTCTTGTACACTACCCACACTTTGGTGGGTGCTAACTCCCATTGTCCTTAAATCATATCAATATTGTCTCCATATCACAAGTCATAGCGTGTCCTGCACGAAACTAATACAGTATTTTCTCGATTTAACTAACTAATTCGAGCCACCTGTTCGTTAAATCAAAATGGCCACACGGTTCTCTCACTCACTCATTGACGGGATGAGAGCACCTGACGACGTGAAAGCCAAGCCCATAATTTCCTGTCTGCCAGAAATCGATGTTCAACCCTATTTTCAAAGAGCTTTCAACCTTATTTACCGTGTAATAAGGAGATCTTATCAACTACCATCGTATAGAGCTAGGCCGAAAATACAGTAGTGCTTTCCAACAAAAAATGGGTTTTGCCCGGATGATCTGAATGCACCTTACAATGAGGTACACCTACAATGAGCAAAGTTATATCCTCACAATTACATTACATAATATTTAAAAAAAAAAAAATATCTCTCTCTCTCTCTCTCTCTCAGGGTGGTGTAATGCATCTAGTGTGGCAGCAACCTAGGTGAAAAACTTAATACGAGAGCATCAGCCCCACAGCCGACAACAGCTGCAGATATTGACTACGAGGCAACAGTAGGTAGTAGGTAGTAGACAGCTACCAAACAGGGAGGTACTACCGCCTGGGAAGATATTGGAAGCATAAGGTGTTGTCTATCGGTAGACCCTGCTGCCATATGGCATCACGAAAATTTTGACCAAGTCCCAGGTTGCTGATCTGACTTTCTGCCTCATTTACACACAATTGCAGGGTCTCAATTGTTTCTCTTACTATTGACAACACAACATACATACTGTGTACTCCTATATATATATATACAGTAATACCCCGCTTAATGCGGTTTCGCTTAACGCGGTTTCACGTATACGCGGTGCCTCGCCAGAGCCGAACTTTCAACTTTCACTTTACGCTGGTTTTTCCACGTATACGCGCAGGGTGTCCAGCTCGAGATGCTATTTGTAGATTCGCCCCACCCGCCTGCCTGCCTGCCTGCCTGTTTTAGCTCATAAAATTCATACAAATTACCCGGCCAGAATGTAATTTACATTGCTGGAA